GAATGTTAGAAATGTTGTGTTAATTGAAGTTCTGTATTCATTATAGATATAGCCCCTATTTAAAACAGTGAAATCCATATTCAAACTAGGAATGAAAGTAAGGTATTTCTCAGATTTTGCAAAAGTGGAGCTTTGGGTTTTTTTTTTTTCACCTTAAATGGACAAGCCTGTGCATCACAAGTACTAACAGGCTTCCCTTGGGATATACCAAGATATGGAGTTCAATTTTGCTTTTCTCTAGTTGTGAATATAGATTCTGGAATTGGGGTTTGACGGTGTGATGGCTGCTGACAAGAAGCCAGAACTCCCGTTCCTAAGGGTCTTGAGACTGAGGAACATGTTTGATCTCCCTTCCTGTTCTGTTCTGTTTCCTCTGTCCAAGCTGAATAATGACGTTCTTGGTTGTTTGGTTTAAGTTGGTGCTCTGAAGCTGAATCTCAGTGCCCTTTACTCTCAGTTGTCAAATTTTGATAAAACGAGCCATTTTCTTTGGTAAGAAAAAGCAGGTTTAATGTCTGCCAGAACACAATTTATATGCCCAATTATTGGCTCCATTAAACTTTTTAAAAACTTAAAAAAAAAATAGGGTAGCAAAGCCGGGCAGTGGTAGCACACGCCTTTAATCCCAGCACTTGGGAGGCAGAGGCAAGTAGATTTCTGAGTTTGAGGCCAGCCTGGTCTACAGAGTGAGTTTCAGGACAGCCAGGGCTACACAGAGAAACCCTGTCTGAAAAAGCAAAAAACAAAAACAAAAAAGTATAGCAAAGCCAGTTGTGAAAGGTTTCAGAGCAGTTAAGTATTAACTGAGAAGCATGATGAAAGGACAATTCTTTTTCAAACATACAAAAAAGTTTTCCCGTTTTACAACAGAACCTACAATTACTGGTCTAGTCTAGACTATTTAAGTGAACTAACACTACAATGACTATTTTTCAGTTCCTGAATATAACTACTTTGGTAGCATTCCTTCTGTTTTCTGTTAACATCACTGCTTCCTTTTTGACTTTCACTAATGGTTGTGTGGCCAATTGCTTAAAATGTTTGTATATAATATTATAGAAGAAGAAAGAAAGTAGCAGTCACTGTCAGATGGGCACTTCATTTATGCATTAAATACCAAACCCTATCCGATAAGTTCCCATGTGTAAACTACAGAAATCATGCCTAGTATGAGAAACCTAGTTGGCTTCTAGGAGGTAATGAGGCCATGGATCTTAGAATCTATTGCCACCACTTTGATAAACCAGCATAATCCCTTACTACATTCTAAATTTTATCCTTATGCCTATAGATAAATATAGTTACCCTTCATCAAAGAAGGTTCTTGTTACAGAAAATGGAGACTATTATACAAAGCCACAGCTGAATAGGACACAGAGATCAATGAATCATGAGGCACTCAGCTGCAAAGGATCATATACATCATAGCTCCTGTACCTATGGCTCAGGGAACACCATGGAAGAAGGGGTGGAAAGACTGTAAGAGCCAGAATACCTGAAAGTCTGCTGCGAAACAGTTTCTGTAGAAATAGCTGGATAAACTAGACTGCAACAATAGCACACACACACACACACACACACACACACACACACGCGCGCGCGCCTATGCAACAAATAAAAAAAAGTTGAGAGGAATTTGAGGAAGAGTAACTGGGAGGGGCTAGAGGGAAGAAAGCGAGGAAGGGATATATTTCTATTTCTATTAAAAACATTTTTAGTTTCTGGGTGGGAGAATAGGGAAAGGGGATGACATCTGAAATGTAAATAAATAAAATCTCCAATTAAAAAAGTTTTAAAAAATATGTATAAATTCTACCTAAAAATATAGAAAAAAAATAAAGATTGCTAAGTGTTTTTATTATAATAAAAGCAATACATATCCATTTTAAGTATTTTTGAGAAATATCAACAAGTGAGAAGAATATTAAGCATGTATAATTCTGCTCTGGATGTCCCGAGAATTGAACTCTTCATATATATTCCCTATGGATTCTTCTTTAGAAATAATTTTATTGTTTTATGTAGTCAAAAACCACACCATATAGTCAGCCTTGTCATGTCAGCAATTTGAATAATTTCCCCAATTTATTATCAAGGACAGCATAAAATGAAACCAGATATGCATGGCTAAACAACAAGCCAGGAGTCTTGTAAGGTGAAAAGGCCTGTGACATAGCTTTAATTCTAATTTTTGATAATTCTTATATATTAGCACCAAACATCTCAATCTATCCCTATAAGACCCCTGGAACTATACAAACCAAGTCCACAGAGTTGGTCCAAAGAGAGGTACTTCAATATTCAAAGATAGCTCTATATGGTTCCTGTACTAATTTACTTTCTATTGCTATTTCTTTCTTTTATTTTTTTATTTACTTAAAACTCGAGGCAGGAACATGAATGCAGGAACTGAAGAAGAGACCATGGGAGAAATGATGCTTACTAGTGTGCTGCCCCTGCCTTGCTCAGCTACTTCTCTTATACAGGCCAGACCTTCCCACATTAAATCAGCAATCAAGGAAACATCCTGCAGACTTGCCTATCAGCCAATCTGATGTAGACAACTCCTAAATTGAGGTTTCCTCTTCCCAAGTGACTTTAGGTTGGATCACCCACTCACCATGACAAAACAACTAAAACAAACAAACCTGCAAAGCTCCTTTTATAGTGTTCTGCAGAAATAGACTGGTCCCCTTGTTAGCCTAGTTATCTTTGAGATATTCTCTCGTTCTCTCTCTCTCTCTCTCTCTCTCTCTCTCGCTCTCTCGCTCTCTTTCTCTCGCTCTCCTTCTCTCGCTCTCCTTCTCTCGCTTTCCTTCTCTCCCTCCCTCCCTCTCCCCCTCCATCCCTCTTCCCTCCTCTCTTGTGTTTTCCTGAAACAGGGTCTGTGTAGCCTTGGCTGTACTGGACTCACTCTGTAGACCAGGCTGCCCTTGAACACACAGTGAATCTTCCTGCCTCTTCAAGTCCTTCAAGTGCTGGGATTAAAGGTATGTGCTACCACTGCTCAGCTCAATGTCTCTTTTAAATGGTAGTTATAACATGACTACAGACAGGACTACTGTCTCATTTTATCTAGGCATTCAGTATATTATACTTCTGTTAATTTACAATAGAGGTATCTTATTTTTAAACAACTAGTACCCAGTTACTTATTTCAGAAGCCTAGATTTCTGTTAAAACAGACCTTCATCCTTTAATCATATAACTGATCTTTTACTAAGTAGGTGTGATTGTATATTTTAATATTGTATCACTAGTTGTGTCCAATATTCTAGGCATTTACAATAATTTCAAACCCTGACTCTGACATATAGACATTGGCTTATCTGTTGCTTCTCACATCTCAGCCATGCATTACATTATTTTACATTACAGTACATTTTACATTGCATTACATTACAAGGAAGCAACCTATGTAGCAAGGTATTAGTGATCACCCTTCATAGTTTTCATTAAGCGTTTATTAGACAGTTTGTAACCCCATCTGAATATACTGCCACCATTTAGTCTGTCTTTCCCAGGGACTGTGTCATTCCTTGATTCCACAAAAATAATGTCAATGATATTTGCAATGGTTTATTTTCAATATACTTAAACCATCAATCACTAAAATGATTGCCAAAGACTGACACCCAGCTTGCTGTAAACTTCCAGAATCTTCCTTCCTATTCTGGAAAACCAAAACATTCCCTTAGAGTCCACTGTTTAAGGTTGAATTGACTTACATAGTTCATGATGTGTGCAATGGTAGCCACTATAACCTGCACCTTCCTGTACCCTACAGGACTTACCAGAAGTCAAGGCACAGGAATATTAAATAGCATTTTTGGAATTTAGGCATAATAATGAACATAATAAAAGAGCAACAGATATGAACTAGATTAATCTACATCAGAACTGTGCTAACAAAATGTATGGCTAAAAGCAAGAAAACAAAAGCTAGATTTCCCCCATCAGTTTCAAAGTTGCCTAATATACAAGGCAACAACAGTTTAGTCTTTCATCTACCCTAAACTCATTTCCCAGGAGTACTGGAATTCCACCTGCCCCTGCATTCAGGAGCAAGTCATGATAATCTTTCCCATCTACCACAAGTTCTTCTGGGAAAAGCACAGTAGCTATACATTTTCTCTTGCCTTTCTGGGGTTTCTCTGCTCTATGTCATCGCTTCATCAATGGGACATCCTTCAAAATGTGGTAACAAACCTTTTTTGGCGGTAGGTTGAAAAGTAAGTAGCAGTAAGCCATGCAACTCATCCCAGTTTTACCCTGCTATTTAACATTTGGTAAAAGGACACCTGGATACTTCTAGAGTGGTAGGCTTTAATCTAGGATTCACATCAGCATCTTATTCTGTGATGTTTTAGAAAATGTGTGCATGCTTGGACCATGGGTCCAGACATTCTGATACAGTGAATCCGAAGGATCTGTATAACTTGGCAAAAATCTCTAAGTTGTTCATTCTTATCTGTGCTGCCGGTTAAAAACCAATGTCCTACACCAATGTACTCTAACCACCTCTCCTTTATTCTGAGGGATACAGTTTCCACAGCTCTGTGCCAGGCTGAATTGGGCACTCATAGCACTTCTGAGTTTACACCTAGTCTTATCACCACTGGAGACATGCAGACCACAGCCAGAGCACAGAAGTAAATGAGGGTCTTGCTATTGTTAGCATCTTATGATTGTAAAAGAAACTACTTGAGTTACTTTAAAGGAGGATAATGTTCATGCAGGGTAGCCTGGTGACTAACCAGTAGATTGGGTGGTAAAGTTGACAACCACCAACCATTTCAATACTTCATTCTGTCTATTGCCTACAAAAACAGATGTTAGTGTTATATCGGTTTTGCAGAAGCAAAAAATTAAGAATTGAGAAGGAAACGTTAATGCGATCCCATGTTAATGCGATCCACAGTCAATGTTGTAAGGTAGAAAAGAAGCAGTATCATTTTTTAACAGTTAGAGTGATCTTGATGGTCTTATAATCTACTTACCATTTCCAAACTTCTTAAATAAAGACGATAATTTGTGATGTAAACTCTTCCCTTAATGGGGCCATTGAAAGGACATATGTAAATAACTTCTTTGTCTAGTAAGATTAAAAAAAGTACCATAAAATAATGGAAATAGATACCAAGATACACAACAAATGGTACTAACTTAATATAAACTACTTGGCTACATTTTACTACAATAAAAAATGACTAAAAAGTTAAAAGCAACACTGATAAAGTCTCCACAGCTCTGTGCCAGGCTGAATTGGGCACTCATAGCACTTCTGAGTTTGCACCTAGTCTTATCACCACTGGAGACATGCAGATCACAGCCAGAGCACAGAAGTAAATGAGGGTCTTGCTATTGTTAGCATCTTATGATTATAAAAGAAACTACTTGAGTCATTTCAAAAGAGGATAATGTTCATACAGGGTAGCCTGGTGACTAACCAGTAGGTTGGGTGGTAAAGTTGACAACCACCAACCACACACATATCATAGGTTCTTGTTGCTTTTTTGACAAAGGATCTCCTCTCTCTGCATCCCTGTCTAAACTTACACTCATGATCCTCCTGTCTCAGCCTCCCAAGTGCTGGAATTATGGGAATGTGCCACCACACCCTGCTATAATGCCAGCTGTAGAAATCTGTCTGTAGAAAACATTTAAGTGATAATGTACATTCAATGCAAAGTACATATTTTCTAAATTTGATGTAAGGAAAAACTAAATCAAAAATTTCAATTATAATAAAAATATCTTTCTCTTCCCCTTCAAGGATATCATTGAATATGTTAATGATTTTAAAATCCTTTTCTCTTCAGGTACTAAATGAAAACTATATACTAAGGTCACTTTATACCAGTTCAATTAGTTATTACATTGGTTAAGGTCTGTCTGCTGATACTTAGTACCCAAACATCCTACATAAAGACCACCAATAGTAAAATTTCTTTGCTCTTTTCCAGAAACTATGAAGAACATATATTACTAATTTTAGTTTCAAGACTAGAATTATGAGTATGAGTCTGTGGACACCAAATATGCTCTCATGATTCTTGTGGTATAAGGATAATTCACAAAGGAACTTCTTTTTTAAAACTCCATTAATTAGCACAATAATTTAGCCATTTAAAATTAAAATTTGACTCTTACTCAATGAATAGAATGGTTCTCTGAAATATTGATGATTATTGGCCCCAAATATACTATCATGTGGCAGGAAGGACCAACCCTAACACAACACTGTGCTTCTAATAATCTTAAGTCAGAATGCTCTGGCCCTTCCAAAGTAGATACTGTCCTCTTAGCCTAGGTTTATCATGAAACACAAAACAAACAAACTAAAAACACTGTATCGAAATGTTACCACCACTTTACTTTCCCTTTTCTGTCAAAGGATCTTCTATTATGTCACAGAGAAGAGTCTTTAAGCTGTTATCATTTTGAAACATACATCACAGACTGAAAGTCTTAATCTACTTCTGTTCTTATAACCTTAAATTATGAAGAGTGGGTAACCCTAGTTCCAGACTTTCAACTGATAACCTATGTTGTTCTCTCTAAATCATTCTCTTTGGTACAGAGACAAGGATATCGCTAGCCTTGTGAGCACCAGGCTCTTGAAAGAACTCTTTGATCAGGAAAGGCATGCAGTGTTCTCTCTGCATTGAGGCTCCTAAACAAAGCTAGCTTATTTGTTCTCTGTGACTGTACAGAGCAAGTGGAACACAAGCCACCTATCTTGCTGTACTACTCTTCCAGTTCTATACCCCCAGCCTCAAAATCTCCTTACCAGTAATTGGTAATTCCCCTGGGAGTTGAGGAACAGTCTCACTCACATCCTGACTGACTCCATCTTGAGATACCTGCAAATGAAAGGGGCATTGGACGGAGGTGGTGGTGTCATCTTTACACACATGGTAGACAGAAATACACTTCTAAAGAAAAAAAAATAGTTTAGCATTGAAAAAAACTAGAACAGAAAATTCAAACTTGCAAAAGAGAATCTGGAATGAAAATATAGGTACGTGAAGCCATTTGTTCAATCCCTAGCAATAACAAATTAGGAAAATAAAAATAAAAGACTCTGCTGGTTGTAACATTTATTAGATATGTTAATTCCTAGTCTGCATTTAAATAATGTTATCAAAGTTTTATACTTTGTAAAAATTACTTTAAAGCTAATATATCTCAGTTTAATAGTCAAACTTTAATGAAATCAGTATGCTGTATGGTGATAGCTTTTTTCCTATGCAATTGCTGCAGAATCATACCACAGTGCTAGAGAATACATTTTTGACTTATTATTTTATTAAGATCTTGCCTTATTTTTCATTTTATTCTACCTTATTCTACATAAGTGAACAGGTAGTCTGTTGGAGACCTGGTTAGGTCTCTAGGAAGCATTTCAACAAGTTCTCCATAGACTTTCTCTGTAGGTCTCCCATTTGGGAGGTATTCTCAGGTATGTGCCTCACCTAATCACAGCAGTAGCTCTGATATGCAGGCAAAGCAGTAATCATTAAACTAAGGCAAGCCAAGAATGGTGGCACACACTTTTAATGCTAGCTTTTGGTAAGCTATGGCAGAATAATCATAAATTGAGGCCAGCCTTGGCAACACAACCTGACCTAGTCTCAAACCAAACCAACTAAGCCACCTCCAAAATTAAATATCAATATTTAAAAATCAAAATAGAATGCTATAAAATTAAAAAGCAAAATGAAGTGATCTGTATATTATAATGAGTTTTTTATTTCATTATGAGGCATACATATAAACTATTAAAAAAAAGAATCTCCCCACCTCCCTCCCAAGGCAAACAGGCAAAAGACATTCATGGTTACTTCACAAAACCAACAGGAATGGGCAATAATGTAGCTTTCAAAGGAAATAAAAGGTTAGATTTGTCACTAATCAAGAAATAAAAATAAAAAGTTAGCCACCTTTCTGACTGAACATTTTTGTACACTGTGGGGTGGAAGAATAAATTAACCTTTCTGGTAGACCATCTTTAATATCTCAAAGGGCCATGAATAAAATTTACTTTGAATTCACCCCTCCCTTTCAATTTATATTCGCCCCCCCCCATATCATTCTAATGGGACAATTTACCCTGGCTACTTTGAAACATTTTACATTCAATTTGTATGTTTAGGTTTTATAAGTCTAATCATCATAGCTAAAAAATAATGCCATATTTAGGAAGCTGTTTAGTCTTGGCCTTCCAATAGTTCCTTCAGAGAGCTGTCTAAGACAGAGGGCTGCTTCATACTTGAATGTAAGGTCTGACAACAGTTTGTGAATAAAGCTTTGGGAGAGCATTTACAAAAGCAAAAATCACTTCACACATATTCTATTTCAATCTTTCCCAGAACAAGGTGGGATGATAAATAAAACCATGTCTCTATCACCTTATGCTATGTGAGCACACAATGAAATTCATGATTCAATATGACCCAAATGACTGTCTAATACAAATATGAAGAAAGAAATGTAGAGAGATTCAGAGAAGTGTAAAAATTCAACTTACCTTCTTAATGGATTCATTCTCTAAGGAGTGCGAATTATACTTAGGTGCTGATGCAGAAGCCATCCTGGAACCTACCAAGGAAGACAAAATTCTCTATTAACTGAATTTGCATTGCTATTTCAAATATGTAACATCAAAGAGTTAAATATTTCAAGAGAACAAACAGTACTTGACTTTGTAGGCCCTTTTCATATCCTATGGCTCAACAAAACACAAAATACAAAGAGCTAGCCAGTGTACAGGCAGTAAATGTCCAAAGAAGAAAGGTGTTCAATGCTATCTATTTTACTCCTGGTTTAAGGTTTGGTATCATGAGGCCAGAGGTGTGCAGTACTTTTTCAAAAGTTGTATCTAAACATTAAGATAACAGCTAGGCAACATGACTATTAAGGGCCATGTGAAACAGGAGCTAAATATTAAAAGGGGAATCCCACAGAAGACATCAGGCTTATTCTAGGAAATTATATTCATAACGTTCAAGTTGCAATCTTAAAACAAACAAAAACCTTTTAATGTTTACTAATGTATGACAAGCATGAAATTTCTACACCACTTAATTGAATGTATAGGCATTCAAGCAGAACTGTGAAAAAAGTGAATTATATCATTCATACAGCTTTCCTTCAAGAATTACTTTTTCCACATTAAGGGGTTTAATGAGAAATAGATTTGACTGAAATCAAATTTATAGGAATTATTTAGTATTTTCTAGTAAAAGTATACATTTTGGATAAATAATGGATATTCCTCAATTAGCCATGGACAGAAGTGAAATATTAAAAGCATACATAAAGCTATTTTAAAAATATTTATGTTTGTTCATTTGCATAATGTATATGTGTGGGCATACATGCTGTAGCGAATGTGTGGAAATCTAAGGATGAGTCTGTGTAGTCGGTTTTCTCCTTTCACCTTTACCTAAGTTCCGGGAATCAAACTCAGGTCTGTGAGGTAAGTGCCTTTATCTGCTGGGCCATCTCATACACAAAACCATTCAAATGCAAGTATGTATTTATACTCCTGAAGATGTTAGCAATAACAGAAAATAGTAAATGTTGTAGTTATTTTAGATATCAACATTAATAATAGAGATGAAGTCAGATGAAGTCACTAGCAGGTAAGCCATATCTAATCCAAGATGTCTATGGATACCTACGGAATCTTTTGGACATATTCCATTCAAAGAACAGTCGTGAGGCTGGGGAGATATCTTAATTATTAAATGCTTGCCTTCAAATTATGAGGACCCAAAACCCACATTAAAAAAAAAAAACAGCAAAACAACAACAACACAGGTATGGTATATGGTAAATCCCCCTTCCTAGCTAGTCAGCCTAGCTTAATTTGTGAACTCCAGACCACTGAGAGAGATCCTGCCTCAAAATACAAGGTAGACCACTTGGAAGGAATACCAACTCCTCATAAACACTCTCTCTCTCTCTCTCTCTCTCTCTCTCTCTCTCTCTCTCTCTCTCTCTCTCTCTCTCTCTCTCTCTCTCTCTAACAACAATGACAAAAAACCACAAAAGAACAGGCATTCCCTGACAAGCACAGCATGGAGCATACCAACACTCTGGCACCCTTTCACAGTGCTGGTCACTGTCCTTAAGAAAGGCCTGAGCAAACTATTACATGGATACTGTTTGGCTACTGGTGACTAAATTGTAAACTTTAAAACTGCACTTGCCCACAAGGACTGCAACAGGAAGCAATGTGCCACTGTGAAAGATTCCCTAAAGAGACCAAGTACCCGAGGGGCATTTATAGAAACAGCCACTCACTAGGTTTACAACACATTTTGCCCAAAACCTCAAGCAATAAAATTTTCATCCCTTTTATTTAAAAAAGAAAAGTTGTGGGAGTGGACAGGGCTGAAGAGATTGTTTAGGGGTTAAGAGCTCTTGCAAAGGACCCAGGTTCTGGTCCTAGTACTCACATGAGACAGCTTACAACCCATTCTGAGGCTTCAGCTGCCTCTAGTCTCTATGGGCATCTGCATACATATGCACACATAAACCCATGCAGTTGTATATAAGGACACATAAATAAAATTAATAAATATGTGTATAAGGAGTTCTTTAAAACCATTGCTTTTTTTGCTACCTTGGCTTTAGTGCAAAAACTGAAAGTTCTATACATAAACATGATTTTGAGTCCCCTCTCCAAGATATTTTTGTGATGACTTAAGCCAAGCACTCTCCTGTCACAGAGCATACAGGGACTAGAGAAGGGTTAAGATCAGTTCCTAAAGTGAGTCTCACAAGCAAACTAAGTGCTATATGTGACTGCTTCTCATCTCAGTAAAACAAAATACAGTTAAAGAGAACACTACTCATAGTCTTGAGTCCTCTAGCCCCCTCAAATAAAACAACATAAAGATGATATTTTATTGTATAAAGTTTAGTTTTAAGTGCAACATAGCTTTCACTGTCTCTCTTGAAATTCAAAGCAAACTCGGTGGGTCTTCCTCTCTCCCCATTTATGTCTCTCATTCTAGCACTTAGCATCTCCTCAAGAGTTAGAGCTCTCCCGGCAAGAGTCCCTATTTGCAGGCTAAAACTTCTATGTTGGATTTACTCCTGCATTTTTATAGCACCTGCAACAGTGACTAGCACCTAACACGTACCTAATAGGTTATGTGTTCAATGAATAAACTGGTCAATAACTACTTGGACAAGGATCTTGACACTATTTCTCTTAATCCAGAAACCAATGAAAGCTTATTAAAATTAATAAAAGGATACAACAAAGTTTCTCGCTCATCAGGTGTTCCCTATATAATACTCTGGCCAGCAGAACTGGAGTGTTAGCTTATACTACTCTGAAACAATTTGTACCAAAGAATTGAGACAGTTTTTCCTCTTCTATAGGCTCTCCCACAAAACGGAATATTTAAGGCACTCACACATTCTTCTTCCAGACTAAGAAACTATTCTTAAACTTTACAGATTATGTGAAACACCTTTCTCCTTTGATCTTTCCTAATGGGATTTATTGCTTTGGGATTTATTTAAATAAATTCAGAGAAGCTTACCCCCACCAGTCCAGTCCCACTGAAGCTGTACAGAACTATCCAGTCTTCTAAAGCCTGCCAGCCAACAAGGAATCATGAACAAGCAGTCTGAGTTTAGAATTCCTTTTAAAGGTAATTGTCTTTGCTTGGTAGTCTCTTTTGAAAACAAATGTCAAGAACTTCAGGCAGTGGTGCACAATATTATTAGACCCAATTTGCTATAAAACAAACTCTGCAAAGCCCCTTTGTTAGCTTAAGATGAGAATTGTAGATGGTATCAATCTGAACACAATTTTCCCTGTTTTATTGTGTGACCCTGTGTGTATGTTTGTGTGGAGACTAGAAGACAACCTTAAGTGTTATTTCTCAGGTATCATCTACCTTATTTGCTTGGTTTTGTTGTTGTTGTTGATGGTGGTGGTGGTGGTGGTGGTGTGTGTTTTGAGACAGGCCTGGAGCTGGCTTAGTAGGTTAGGCAACTCTCAGGGATCTACCACCTCTACTTCTATAGGGCTAATATTACAAGTGTATGCTACTATAGCTGCTTTTTTAACATGGGTTTGGGGAACTAAACTCACACTTGCACAAGCAGCACTGAGTCATCTCTGTATCACTGCTTTAGATCAGCATACAAAGCAATGGGTTTCGTCATGGCATCTTCATGTGTCATTAAATGCTTTGTTCTCATCTGTTCCCTGACACCACCCTCCTCCATCTCTCTGTTTTCCTTCTGTCCTCTAGTCAGTCCTCCGTTCTGAAACAAACATCAACACTATGTCCTAACTCTAATCTAGAATAAAATAAAAGGTTGTGATTTGTAATAACGACCTTTTTATCCACACTCCTCTCTTCATTTGCAACCTGGCCTCTCAGGAAGCATCAAGCACTTGGACCCTCAGCCACTTAGGAGACAAGAAAATAAAAACAGATCTCATAATGTTCTCAATGAAACTACTAGCTTCGCTGGGCCCAACAGAACTGTTCAACATTCCAGCCATTTTGAGTCCATTGTAACTATCAATTTATAAACCATATTTGCTTACTTGGCAGAAGGCTACCCCAACCCGCATGAAAATAAAGCATGATATGAAAAGTAGAAGTTTCATTTTTTATCTATTTTCTTTTGACCAGAGATGGCACACTGTTCTTGTAAAGGACCAGATAGTATGTGAGTCATAAATCTCATTGCAACTTGGCAATGTAGCACCAAAACAGTAACATAAGACAATTTCATTTACAGTAACAGGCTGCTACCTCCTGCTTTATGTGATTCTTTCCAAATGAACTTTCCTCAGCAAAACAAATAGTAACTATGTTCTTTTAAACTGCAAAATAAATTATTAACACTATCTTTCAGTTTGTCAAAGATGCCACTATGACCAGCTTCAACATGGTGTGCCTTGGTTGAAAAGGAGGATTCTGTATTCAAGAATTTGAGTTTGCAATACCAAGTATGTCACTCAACAATAATAGTCCTGAAATACTGTCCTGGCTGAAGGGGAGGAGAGTATGAAAAGTTTCAAAACAAAAGCCTGCTTAGCTCTTTACACTTTCTATAGTTTCATCAAATCAGGTAACTTAGCTGAGATTTGAAGCAGCCAAGATAAACTAACCTAACACATATGAGTTACTGTATATTTGGATTATTAGCACCACAGCTGGCACAGTATACCAGCCCCTGCCTCCAACTAGAGGCTTTCCATAAATTCTTAGGGCATTCCTCAAATTAGGTATGGAGGGAAACTGCCCTGAGGAGACTCAAACAAATGTCTACTCACTCTTCCTAGAACACCAACAACAAACCAAAGTTCAACTCGAGGCTTTGGCTTCTTTACAGAGTATGGGTAAGGGTTACTTGGAGCACAAGTAATCCCAAAGCAGCTGTTTCACCACAAAGTGTCACTCTAGCATGGGTAACAACTTCTCTACAGCTGCATGGATGAAGCCTCCCCTCTGGTTAACCTTCACCTCTATGCTCCAGCACCTCCCTACCAGGAAGCCATTTGTAATTACAATAGAATTGTGTAAAACGAGCTGGGAGGTACAGAAAAGAATGGT